CCGCACCTATATGGTCGCCCTTTTGACGTAGTCACTGATCACCATGCGCTTTGTTGGTTATCCACGTTGAAGGACCCCTCCGGCCGTTTAGCTCGCTGGGCTTCGCGGTTGCAAGAGTTCGACATGCGTGTTGTCTACAGGTCTGGCCGACGTCACACTGATGCCGACGCTCTATCACCCTTACCTATCCTATGTCATCTGAAAGCTCTGCATGTTTATCTGCCGTGGACGAAATGGTTGCGTTCCCAGAAAACTGTGACATGGCGTCTGAGCAACGCAAGGATGACTGGATCAGCCCTCTTCTGCAATTCCTTTCAGATCCGTCGACTTCTCCATCTTCTCGAACGTTGGGCCGTCAAGCGGCTCACTTTGAGGTCCGGGATGGCCTCCTTTATCGCAGGAATTACAAGTCTGACGGCCAAAAGTGGTTACTGGTCATACCTCGCAATTTTCGTGCTGTAATATGTCCAGCTTTCCACGCTGACCCTCAGTGCGCACATGCGGGCATCTTCAAAACATACGCTCGGCTTTTCTCCCGGTTTTATTGGCGAGGCATGTACACCTTTTTGCGCAAGTACATTCAGTCGTGCCCGCAGTGCCAACGACGGAAAGCTCTGCCTCATCATACCTTTGGTCCGACCAGCCAATCCCATCCCCAGCCAGGCCTTTTGACCGCATTGGTATCGATCTGTACGGGCCTCTTCCATTCGCGGCTTCCGGAAACCGTTGGATTGTTGTCGCTGTCGACTATTTGACGCGATACACAGAAACAGCTGCTTTGCCTGCTGCCACAGCACGTGGCGTATCTTCTTTTCTCCTGCGGCACTTCATTCTCCGTCACGGCGCACTCTGTGAACTTCTCAGCGACAGAGGACGTGTATTCCTCTCTGAAGTCGTCAACGCACTCCTTGCCGAATGCCGTATCATTCACCGGACTACCACCGCCTACCATCCACAGACGAATGGATTGACGAAAAGATTCAACCGTACCCTAGGGGATATGATATCAAAGTATATTGCCTCAGACCACTCCGACTAGAACATCATTCTGCTTTTTGCGACATACGCCTACAATACTGCTCCACAGGCGACTACGGGCTTTTCACCATTTTTCCTGTTATATGGCCGAGACTTTTCCACCACACTAGATACCATTCTGCCCTACCACCCCGATTCCTCCGAGCCTACGCCCATCTCTGAAGCTGCCCGCCGCGCCGAGGAATGCTGTAAGCTCACCCAGTCGTTCACAACCATCGACCAATGGAGACAAAAATCTCGGCGTGACGATAACCACCCGTACCCTAACTTTTTTCTGGACACTCTTGTGTGGCTTTGGGTTCCCGCTGTGCCTACAGGTCTTTCCTCGAAGTTTTTTTCAAAATACCAGAGACCCTACCGCATTGTCTCGCAGACTTCACCAGTTAACTACATCGTCGAACCCGTTACGCCATCCACAGACCAGCGCTTTCGGGGACGTGAAACTGTTCATGTACAGCAACTGAAACCTTATTGCGATCCGCTCGTACTCGGTTCACTGTGAGTCGCCAGGATGGCTTCTTTTCCGACGGGGGACGAAGTGTAGTGAAGAGGAATGCCCACTACTGCAGCGACATCGACACGGCGCGAGGCACGAGCTAAGACAGCCTGGTTGCTGCTGCGACGCTGCCCGTACATCCGGCTAGCTCTTGCTGCTTCTGTAGCGACGCTAATACCGCTTTTGACCTTGCATTTACATTATAAAACAAACAAAAAAAAGCGATGCTCGATACATAATCACAGGTACGGATGAGTACAAACAAGTGTCCCAGTTATACTTCGCTGTGTATGAAAAGCGCGCTGTTTTCGCAAACGGGGCCTGTAGGTTAGAGGCAATAACGGTAGGTTAGAGGCAATAAATAGCTAAAAAAAATTACAGTTTCGCCGCAAAGGCAAAGCAATAAATGCGACAGCAACAACGAGTGTAACGCTGAGAACGGCAAGCAGATCGAAACGTGCAGAGTGCTGCTCACACAAAAATGACGCACGAAAATTATACTCACAGGACGAGAGCGAGCTAACAACGTTTACCGCTCGGCACGTAACGCACTGTTTAAACAAAAACGATGCACGATACTTAATCAAAGGTACAGATGAGTACAAACTAACAAGTGTCCCAGTTGTTATACCTTGCTGTGTATGAAAAGCGCGCTGTTTTCGCAAAAGGGGCCTGTGCAGAGACCAAAATGACCTATGTGGGTCCGGCAACTGACGCTTTTGTTTCAGTGAATGCCGAAGGCACTTGATTCCCCCACCAAAGGATAAGCGCGCGCACAGGCATCTGTCCATGGGCCAAAGTACACGGGAGATATAAGCACAGGTCGGCGCATCGCGACGAGCTCGGCGCCGAGCGCGGGCGGCTTTTTTTTAATGTGTTTATATATATTATATAGATACTGCGAAAGACGGGGATGGTGGCGACGGCAAAAAAAAAAAAAAAAACAGCCTGGACCGTTCATATAATTGCTATCGCAATAAAAAAGGGCCAGACGCGTTTCCTTTTAAAAGAATCTAGTAGTGAGAACAGCTTTGACTCGCGCTTTTGCAGCAGCCAGCTGCACCGTCCCGTCCATTCACGTGTTTCCCAGGAAGACACACGCGAGTTGTCTTGACTGAAATAGATTATGCTCCTTGTGTTGATCCTTTGAGACTCTCACCTTAGTGAAAAACTCTACCCTCGTGTGTTCGGCCACTCCTAGCCGCGATAAGACCGCAACACTGATGTTGGCGCTTGCGATTGAGACCCCCTCGCACTCCCTTTTGTTTTTCGGGATGTTTTTTTTTGTTTGTTTGTATGTCCTTGTTTTTTTTTTTTTTGTGCCGTGCGCACCCCCCCAGTTTTCAGATTATGAGAAAATAAGTGAAGTTTAATTTGAGGCACTGTCTCTCGATATTTGTTGGTGCAGTTTAACATGCAGCTATAGCCTAAAGTCTGGCATGTGGTGCTATGCTCTTTGTATTAAAGCTGACGTACATCATCACACAAAATTTTCAGTTGTGTTGATGCTCCATAATTTTGAAGTGTAATTCGCTCACATTATTGTTCACAAAGTTTTATATGTTCAACTTAGTTATAAAAAAATAACATAGCACCAGTTTTGTTCCTTATGAGCTCAACAGTATAAGATTTATTAAAATTGGCTCACAAAAACATAACCAAAAGTTCAGTAAAGCTAGTCAGGCTGGCAAAAGATCTGAAGCTGTGAAAAAATCGCCTTTCATGTTCTGACACTCGCTGCAGAAGTTTCTAGAAGGAATATTCAACAATAAACTTTAGTTAGGTGTTCCCTATTTGTTTCCCTGCTAACTAAAATTGAAAGTGTCTTATTTCACTAAGAAATAATTTTTTTAAAAATTTTCTATGTAGAAAAGCAAGATCTGAGCCCCACCATGGCAAGTAGTTGAAAGGGAAAGGAGGGTCCTGAAAAGACCATGGGGTATAAGACTAAAGCCATTAGTTCCTTGTATATTAATGAGAACTTGATTTTCCCTAATTAATCACCTGCACGTTAATCGCTAATTGTTCACAAAATTTTATATGTTCAACTTAGTCATAGCTTCAGTTTTGTTCCTTATGAGCTCAACAGTATAAGATTTATTAAGTATAAGTTGCACTGCCTTTGCACTGCCTGAATGTTGGGCAACATGCTGCCCTGTGTAATAGGTCGCCATGAGCTGAGTGTCGTTTACGCTCAACCACGTGCAGATGTAGCGTCCCAAGACAGTGCAAGGTGGGTAGGGAATTGCGTAGATTTTCGCGTTTCTGGCAAGCGCATCTGCAAAATTGCGGCAAAACCAAACGGGTGCACCTTCACTCTTCGCTCAACCGACATTCATCGTGGTGCGTGACATGCACTCTTTTGTGCATTCTGCACATGGAGCGGATCGTAAATTGTTCTGTACACGTAGCCGATTGTTAATGTAAAGGTGTCTTATGGGCACAGACTCTACTAAACTCTCGTCCTGGCGGTGCATTTCTAGCCAGCGCCTTCTTGTTCTGAGCCCACTTTTTGTCGCTTCTAAAAGCTCATTGCGAGGACGGTTTCAGACGTGAGTCTGCAGGCATCTCGATCACACGGAATAACTTATCGGTGCAAAGCACAAACACGGTGCATCGAGAAACGAGCGTGAAAGCAGACGCACACACACGATCGGACAGCCAAAACGGCGAACACACAATCAAAGAAAATTACGAGTAGTTGCGCCATCCAATGGGAAACGAGGAACGGCACTTTTAAAAAGTGCGCCAGTCATGTCGGCAAACTGGAGACTCGGTGCGGTGCACTCGGAAAGTGCGCCGAGTGAGAGCCAGTCAGTAACCCGGGAACGACCATCAGAAAACGCACGATGGTGGCCATTCCGCTTGGGCGACGCCATTTTGAGATGGTGCAAATTACGCACAAAGGAAGCAGCTTCAAATCTAGCTCAAAATGACGGCGCTCGGCCCGCTCAATGCTAATGGGGTGTGTGCCAAGTTCGAACAAATTTGGTTCTTCTGAGTGCATTATACTGCTGCTGGAGTGCTTTGAAAGTCCATTTTATTGCATTTTCTGACCGAATTTAGCGTTAGTAATTTGAAAGTAGGTGCTCAGAGGTGCAAGCACTCTGACAATAAGTTTAGCGAAAAATACATTTTTTGGCCATTTTTGATCGTTATAAGACCCACATCCCCCCGTAATACCTCGCAGGTCGCGGGATCGAATCGCGGCTGCGGCGGCTGCATTTCCGATGGAGACGGAAATGTTGTAGGCCCGTGTGCTCAGATTTGGGTGCACGTTAAAGAACCTCAGGTGGTCAAAATTTCTAGAGCCCTCCACTACGCCATCTCTCATAACCATATGGGGGTCTTGGGACGTTAAACCCCACATATCAATCAATTACCCTCGTATACCTCATTTATTAGATTTTATTTGTTTCGCTATCAGTTCTTGCTTTTACCGCTCATTTAATGCACTTCCATCCAGGTTTGTCTACAAGTTGGCTGACTTTGGTGCTGCCCGAGAGCTTCAGGATGACCAGCAGTTCATGTCGCTGTACGGCACAGAAGAGTATCTGGTGAGTAAGAGCGCTTTATGTTACAGTTTGTCTTGATAGTAGTCTGTTACAGAAGACTTGTAGCAATGCAGGTATGTGCAATTAACTGCAATAAAGCTCATTGCGTAGATGTGGCTTCTGTGTGAAGCGTACTAGTCGCCTTCACTTGGTAAACCCCTGATTGCAAAAACGTTCCAAAAACTGTCTTGCTTCAGCATGCAGCAGTTTGAGGAAACACGAGTACAAATGCTATTGCACGTCTTACTTGCTTGGTAAGCAGAACGCAAACTTGTGTTTCAGGAGCAGTAGAGGGACGACATGCTGGAAGCATCAGCTTGAAAAAATAACAAGGGGCAAAATTTACGGCTTACCCTTTTTCCTTTAGCATTTCGAGTTCCTCTCTGTGGGCAGCAAGGGACGCAGCAACATCTCTGCATTGCGATTATCAGCCGATACACTCCTCTCGTTGATACACCATGCGTACACCTAAACACACCCGGACTGTGCTTACTGCACCGTGCTGAACCTCTAACATGGCAGTATGCACACGACAGCTGAGATATGGTAGCAGTTTCGCATAAGGTCTATAATACACTCCTTGATACTATGAGGTGTCCCTGTAGCAATGTGCGTATCACTGCTATTGAGCACTGTGCAATTTGTTCCCATCAGTAATCATAGATTATAACACAAGCACAATTTGACGCTCTACATATTATGCTTAGCCGAAGCCACTGTCATTGTCATAGAAATTTTTGCTGAAGGTATTTGTCATTGCAACACCTCTCATTCCCGTTTGCAATGCCTTGTTTCGAATTTCCCCAAGTTTGCAGCTGTGCAGCACTAAGGCCATGCCATCAACCTGCATCTTGTAGGCTAAACAAATTGCATGCACCAGCCAGGCAAAATGATGCAGCATTTTTTGTCTCGGGTGGTACATTAAACCGGAGATGCGCTGAAAAACATTGCAAGAACGAAAGCGTTCGCCTATTGGCTGACTTCGCCGAACTTCTTGCTGAACTGGAAGCTTTGCAAAGTTTCTTTTGCAGGAATAAACTATGCGAATGCAAACAAGGGTCTGCAATGTGTGCAGAAAAAGCTTTTTTGTCCGAAGGCCAGAGGCAGCAGCATAAAATTACAATGTTTTTTTTTTTTTTGAAAAATATAAATGTTTTTGGCTCTTACACCTCTATATTGACTTGTCAGCCTCATCTTTTTCTGGGTTCGGATCATACGTTTCTTTTCTGCGTTTTTTTCGAAAATGTATCAACGAGGTTCTACTGTATTCGCAGGTGCCAAGGAGTGCATTGGCAGCACACCAGTAATGTTCTCTAGGTAGCACTGTTACTTCTGAAATGATTTATTTATTGTGAAACATTGATCACTATTATTCCTGTAGAGCTGTGACCAATAGGGGTTCTTAAATGGTTTTAGGGAATATAAGCATAAACTAGTGGAAGGAGCAGTTAACTGTGGTGCTTTATTACCCCTGTGCCACATTATGATGGTAAACCCCTTGAATTAAAAAGTAAAATTGCGGGTCTGGTTAACCACTTATGCAGCACCCTGACATGTATGAACGGGCTGTGCTGAAGAAAAGTGCGGGCAAGTCCTTTGGTGCCACAGTGGATCTGTGGAGCATTGGCGTGACACTGTACCATGTGGCAACGGGGGCCCTGCCTTTTCGACCCTACGGGGGACGTCGCAACAAGGACACCATGTAAGTGAGCCGGGTTATACGATTTGTGTAACTCAAACCTCAATACAATGAACTTATAGTTATAATGAAGCAAGTGAAGAATAGTTTTCCATAATTACAGTTTTATGAATATATCTTTATAACGTATTTTTTGGATATGGTGAAGTATTTTTGTAGCAGATGTGACTTTATCGTGAGGTTTGAGTGTATCTGCTCGGACTTGATTGTTAAGAATTTTTGATGCAAGATTCTTTCATCGGCCGTTGATGCAGTCATATACTGTCGTGACAGCCAGCTGTCCAGTGTGCTGCCTTCCCCAGACTCCCATTTTTCCGACTGGCTTGCTACAAAAGTCTGTGTCAGAACTCGTAGTCTTCACGGCACCTGTAAATTAGCGTGTAGCTGAATTTAATAATGTCCGTGACATCCACTGCTGTCTAGAAATGAGCAGCTAAGGGAGAATAAACAGCTCCTCATTGTTGCAGAAATGTACTGGCACCAGTTGTGTTATTTCTTATTTATGTTATGAGCACTGTCTCAGTGTAAAACAACAGAACTCACTCGCAAATTTGCACATGTAACAAAAGTGTTCGTGAGTGTGACGAGGGATGAGCTTGCAACAGTTCTGCTGTATCGCTCGTTGCAAAGCTTTTTCTGCTTTATATATGGAACTTATTCATAACTATAGCAAGTGTTCAAGTGTCCTCATTAAAATAAAAAATGTAATCTTTAGGAATGCATGTTAACAACCTATCTAAAGTACCATTTCTCGCAACACTGTAGGCCAATTTAACCCTTTGAGGGTTTACGTCGTACATGTATGGCATCACCGAACAGAAACCAAAAGGTTAACTTGGTACATACACGTCATAGCAGGTATGTTTGAAATTTCTGCCTTTTTTGGATCATTTCTCTTGCTTGAAACTTGCTGCCACACTTCGGTATGTCATTATTATTTTTTTTCTGTCCAAAGCGGCGTGCCGGCTTTCGGTCTTGCATCTGACCACGTGTGCTTGGTGTAGCTGGTTTAAATTTCATCCTTTGGATGGTCACTTAGCTGGAACAGAAGTTGTTGCTAGCAGATCCGTTATGAGGAGAGTATACTGTAGTCGTTTGCCGTGAAATGAAGCGAACACACGGCAGTCGCTGCCCTTGTCGCTCCCTTCTTGGGAAATGTTCTGCCGCCGGGCATTCCGGAGGTTTTCTTTGGATGGAAGCTCGTGGTAGCGCACAATTATGGGTTTTGCGAAGCAGTGGACTTGCCAAGCGGCACACAATATTTAGGCATCGTGTGCACAGAAATTCATCCATGGACTTCTAAACCCAGCAGCAGTTTAGAAATGCCGAAGAGGAAAAAATAATAAATAAAAGCAGCATCGCTCCAGTGTTGCCAAGCTTGAAAGAAGTGCATAGCTGGGCATCCCTCTTTGTTTCTCTTTGGTTTTGTCTCTCTTTGTTTCTTTTTTTTCTTTTCCAGTGTTTCTGTGTGTTTTCTCTTTATCTTCTATTTTTTTCTTTCTCTCTAACTCTCACCTGCTTGCTCTTTCAGTTTTTGTGTGCGGTTCGCGTTTTTGTGTTTTGCTAGCCTTATTAGTAATGCCTGCACTCTACATAATCATGTAGGTGTTTGAAGAACAAGAAAGAGAAGACTTCTCTTTGACGCGAGCGTGCGCTCTGATGCTACCGCTGGCTGTGCTATGTGTGGGTTTGCCTGTGTCTCGCCAAGCAGCAGCGACAGAATACATCCAACGACAACCTGGCTCCCTAAAGTGCATGTGCTTGAAAGGAATTGTGTGCTGATCGCAGAACAGCAGGAGACTGCTGTCACGAAGGAGGGAGGGTTAGTGGAAGTCTTTTTTTCCTCCGAAATAATGCAAGCAGGTGCAAGGGTCATTACTTAGCCAATATGCAGTGCCCTTACCTGCCGTCGGGGCCAGTCATTCAACTTTCCCTTTCACACACGCTTTTTTGTTTGCCAACTGAATCGGCAAGCCGCCCCAGAGGTGGAGATTTGAGCGGCTTTGGCGATGTCATGCTAGACTGACTGCACCTGCTTGGTGCAGGTTCTGCATCACTTCCAAGAAGGAGTCTGGCGTCATCTCGGGCGTGCAGAACACGGAGAATGGTCCCATTGAGTGGAGCAAGGAGCTGCCCCGAACCTGCCTCTTGTCCCCGTGAGTAGTGTAGCGTCTATGTAGTGCTGCTGTGGAGCATGTAGGGTTATGAAAAAGACGAGTGTGGTACCATGGTTTGATTGACTGAACATTTGTTTGTTTCTCAGAGGGGAAAGTTGTTGGGGAGGGGAGCGAAAAAAAGCTGCACATTGTAGCTTAACTCTGGCCTTCTTGTAGTTTGCTGGTGAGTGAAGAGATTCGAGACTTGGATTTTAAAAAAAAATTAAAAATTTTTTTAGTGCAAGAATTGTGTTCCCCAATGCTAAGGATGCAGAAGCATTGTCTGTCCCGCATTTATCAGTTAAACGAAAACACTAATCTGACTTATGTGTCTAGTAACAACACTTGCACGCAAACATTCACATCCACTCAGCGAGCCAGCGTAGTGGTGTTGCGGTCTTTCTTTTTCTTGGTCCACTTAAGAGTGCGCCGAATAACAACCGTGTGAATACGATACAAAACTGCTGATCACGGCCAAGCTCAGGGTGCGCCTAATATGCACGGAAATAAAAAAAACCTGATTTCTCGCTACCTAACTGGGAGTACGCCTAATATTTGAGTAAATAATGTAATAAAGCTTGTTGGGTGAGCTGGTGATTGCATAACATGGAGATTTTAGTGCTACAAAAGACGTGCACATGTGAGAGAGAGAAGATGGACAGGCATTGCTAACAACTCATTTATTGCAAAGGTAGCTATGATATATAAGCACAATGGTGCACAGGCACAGTGAACACAGATAGTCTGATGATATGCCCGTAGTCTGATGAGTGGTGTCGCCGTGATATCTGCCCACTGCATCTGTGCACCGTTGTACCTGTATTTTATTGTTACCTTTGCAATAAATCAGTTGTTAGTAGTGCCTGCTTGTCCTTTGTCTCTCACATGTATACATCTTTTGTAGTGCTAAAATCACCATGTTATGTCTACAGTATGATACGTGCACTTATGTTGTGTGTTTTGTTGTGTCGTGATGACAGGGGGCTACGAGAGAAGGTTGTCCCTCTGCTGGCTGGACTGCTGGAGTGTGATGACTCCAAGATGTGGACCTTTGAGCAGTTCTTTGAGTCTGTCACGGAGGTCCTCCGCTGCCGCCTGGTTCATGTGCTGTACCTGAACGAGGGACGCGAGATTCATGCCTACCTACCCCCCCAGGCAACGTGAGTACAAGTTTGGTTGTTTCTGATAGTGATCACAGTCTTTTATTGTTAGGCACTTTAATGTCATACTTACAGTCAAGTCACGTTAACATGCTAGACAGTGTATTGTTTCTATGTGGCCATTACTGTAGATTCAGTAAGGGGTTATCTCTTAAATGAAACTGCAGCTTAAATGGAACAAGTGCCTGAAACATGACAGGTTTCATTCTTGAGTTCTGCACCCTTGCTTATGATGTCTCAATGAATGGAACTCCTGTTAAAGAAACATATTTTTCTAGTTCTTTCAGGCTTTTTTATAATAAGGGCCTGCTGTGATTGGAAGTTGGGGTGTGTAAATTTTAAATGCCAAGTATGGAAAAATATTTTTCTTGTTTGAAGCTTGGTTAATTTTAGGAAAAGTCATATTGAATATTTGCTCAAAGCACACCATAGTTTAAACACATTTGTGGTGTATCCATGACTTATTTTCCCAATTGCCTAATGTATTCGCTCTAGTGGCTCGTCTTTTGCCTGCGGGTTAGTCCATGTTACAGACAGATTTTGTCACTTCCAGGTTCACTGCACCTGTGAGGTCGCGGTGCGGCTGGCCAATACACTGTTGGACAGTGTGATGTGACGGTGGCTGACGAGGTCTTGCTGTTGCTGTTGCTTTATTCAGGCACAAGCATCGGTGAGAGGCATGAAGTCAGTTGGCAACCACTTTTTCTCGTTTTGCAGGCTCTCTGACCTGAAGGCCGAGGTGTACCAGCAGACGAACCTCCCCGCTGCATCTCAGCTGCTGTTGTTACCTGAGGGCGTGTTGCTGGAAAATGCACTTGGCCGCGGCAGCTCCGCGCACGAGTTACCCCCGACCACGTTGGAGCGCCCCTACTTGCTGCTCGACAACAACTGCGCCCGAGTGCAGGCAAGTTCGAATTGGAGCTGTTCTCCCTTAAAGGAGTAGGGCCGTGTAGGCCTGCCTTGTTAAGTAACTTGCAGTATTGCAAATGAGTTCCGCGGAGACCCGAAAGGTGGTCGAAGGGTTAAGAAAGAGGAAGAAGTCGACCACACGTTTGTAGCACTAAGCCACAAGGAAATGCAATATGGTTTTCTCAGAAAGAAGGCCTCTTAGTTGCCGAAAAATTCGTCCTGGTCCGGGGTTCGAGCCCAGGACCAATGCTTTTCCAAGGCGGTCGCTCTGCCAAGTGAGCTAACCAGGAAGGTAGCAATTGACAGCGCAATTCATCGACAACTCAAAGCACATGGACACAACTAAAAGGCTTTTTTTCTGAGAAATCTGTATTGGATTTCCTTGTGGCTTCGTGCTACAAACGGGTTGTTGTCTTCTTTCTCTTTCTTAGTAACCTTAGTAACCTAAAAGCGAACTTCCCTGCTCCAGTGGTGCTATCATTCGTGGGCTGTTGAGCATTCGTTTTAAGGGGAGACACTGGTCTTAAAATGAAAAATTTAATTATGAGATATATTTTATTGTAATTAGGGGTGTAAATGGGTTTCTTTGTTCCAGTTCTTTAAAATAGAATTAGTTTTATTGTAGCCCAATTAGTTCTCAGATTATGAGGAAATAAGTGAAGTCTAATTAGGTCATATTTTACGGGCCATTAAGGCACTTTGTCTCGATATTTTTTGGTTCAGTTTAAGGTGCAGCTGTAGCCAAAGATCTGCCATGTGAAGCTACACTACTTATATTGATGCTGATATACATCATCATATAAAAAGTTTCAATTCTGTTTAGCTCACGGGATTTTTACAAAATTTCATATGTTCGTCTTAGCCATAACAAAATAGCATAGCGAGTTCGACTGTATAAAATTTATAAAAATTGGCTCACAAAAACATAACAAAAAGTTCTGTAAGGCGTCGTTGGCAAAAACTATGAAGCTGAGAAAACTGAATTTGAATTTCTGACTCTTTTTGCAGAAATTTCTAAAAGGAATTTCCAACAATGAATTTTATTCAGGTGTTTTCTATCTGTTTCCCTGCTAAACAAAACAGAAAGTGTCTTATTTCATTCAAGGAATCATTAAAAAAAAAGTTCTTATGTGAAAAGCATGATCCAAGCCTCACTATGGCAAGTGATTAGGGTGGGTGGGGGTGGGGGTTCTGAAAAGACTGTGGGGTATGAGACTGAAGCCACTGGTATCTCGTAAGCTATTGAGAACTTGATTCTTGTTAATTAACTGGCTGAATGTAAATAACTATCTGGATGTTAATTGTTAATTAATCACCTGGATGTTAGGCAGCAGGCTGGCCTGCGTAATAGGTGAGACCCAATCAGCAACTTAGGAGTGAGTGAGTAAAAACTTTATTGAACATGTCCGGCGTCATTGAGCGGGGTGGGGCTACAAGCACCCCGGCCTACGTGACGGCCTCGAGTCCTTGGACCCGGGCGGCATCCTGGGCTTGCCGGACGGCCCACAGTTGATCGGCAAGGTCGTGGCTGAGCAGAGCCGCCTCCCATCGCGCCTCTAAAAGTGAAGTATGACACTGCAGCAGTAGTTCATATGAACAAGATTTCAGTTTTCTACAAATACAGTAGGTCTTGATGATACGATCACGGCTAATACAGAATTCGGGATGATACGAATTTTTCTGGCGTCTGGGCTGAGGACCATTAATTTGCAATGTGCTAGAGTACGGTTGTTATGAACAGATTTTTCACCCAAATTGTTTGATACAAGTAAACGCCACCCCATCGACAGCCGCGGAAGCTAGCAGTGTGCATGAACACGCTAGAATGCGTGGTGCGCCGCCTGTTCGGCACGTTGCCAGCGTCGCCTGCAAGCGACGATCGACAGACTCCAAGATCTGCACAATCTTAAATGCCGGAGTGCTCCTTTTGCTTTCACTTGAAGGGGTTACAGACGGCGCTGGCCACAATGAGCACACAAATCCAATCCAATCCAATCTCTGTTTTGCTTGGTGGTAGGTGTTCTCTGGTGCAGATACACTGGCTACTGTATGCGGAGGCTGTAGTGACTGTTTTTTCCAGTCGAGCCCACATATTTGCTTTGTCGTGGTCGAGGCAAGAAGATTTCGGTCATACCATAGATGCATAATACAGTCGAGCCCGCTTATAACGAACCTGAGCGTGACGCGGCATCCGTTCGCTGTATTCCGAAGTTCATAGTAAATGAAACACAGCTTTTAAAAAAAGGTTGCGAGTGAAAACACAAACCTTTTTTTGCCCCAAAAAGTCTGTGATGCACGTGTTTCGAAGAGAGGAAGCGATAAGGGTGGTCTCGAGTTCATTTAAAACGGCAGTGTGCTCATTCACCGAGGTCTGTGGTATAAGGCACTGGCTCCAAAGTTTCGTTGTTCTCGCAATTCGATTCCTCCAAAAAGCTCTCTCACCACGTACTTCATTTACGATGCCCAAATCCGTGCACGGTTTCACAGTGTCTGCATCATCATCGGACCATCACAACATAGGTCCCCCGGTTCGAGACTGCCATGTCTACCGGGTTCGTAGGGACTGCTGCGCGTTACCGGTACACTTCCACAGAATGTGCTGCAGCGTCGCTCTGGCTCCGCACGCCTTACACGCGTCGGACGTATAAATGCCTGGGTAGCAGAGGCGAAGGATCACCGGATTCGGGTACGTGTGTGTCTGTAGTTGTCTCCAGGCAACCTGCTGTTTCTTGTTTAGTTTGGCGTGGGGTGGTGGATATTTGCATCTGTTCAGTCTGTAGTGTTGCGTGATGTCTCTGAAAGTGGTCATGCGATCCCCCCACGTCCATTCCCGCATCGCTGTCGAAGTGTGCGAGACATCGGGACTGTCGGCAGGCGTCGCAGCTCGGCGTGTAAGTCCTCGAGCCGCGGCGTGGGCAGTCGCGTTGCCCGCAAGCGGAGGGTCCGTGTGGGCGGGGGTCCATACGAGGAAACTGTCGTTTTTGCGGCAGATGTTGCGTTCGTGAATTTGGAGAATGCGGGCCGCTTCGCGGGAGATCCGGCCGCTGGCGTAGTTGCGTATCGCCGCCTGCGAGTCGCCTATTATCACCTCGGCGTCCGTGGTGGCTATCGCGAGGGCTATGGCAGCTTCTTCGGCCGCCTCCGTCTCTTCCGTGCCTATCGTCGCACTCGTGACGCAAGTTCCTACATGATCCGTGATCGCGACCGCGAAGCCGCGGTGGCAGTCTTAACGGGCCGCGTCCACGTAAACTGTGTCTTTGCTATTGCCGAATTTCTTTTCAAGGTCTTGGGCGCGCCTGTTGCGCCGACCGATGTGATGTGTCGGGTGCATGTTCTTAGGCAACGGCATAACGACGATGCGCTCGCGAATACGTCTGGGTATCCCGACCTTTTCGCCGCGCTGCGTATGGTAGTTGATACCCAGTGTCTCGAGGATGTGTCGACCAGTTCTGGTCTTCGCCAGACGTTCGTACTGGGCGATGTTGTGTGCTTCGATTATCTCATCTAGAGTATTGTGCAACCCCAGCTCGAGAAATTTTTTCGTGCTGGTATTGGCCGGTAATCCGATTGCGCGTTTGTACGCCTTGCGGATGAGACAATCTAGTTTGGTGCGTTCAGTCGCCTGCCACTTGAGGTAGGAGGCGACGTACGTTATATGGTTCATAGCGAAAGCATGTACCAGGCGAATGGTGTTGCTTTCTTTCATTCCGCTATGCCGATTTGTTATCCGTTTCAGCAACCGGATTGTTTCATTGACCGCGCCCTCTAGTCTGCGAACGGTTTCGCCGTTGTGGCCGTTGGCGGACAGGCGCAAGCCCAGTACCCTAATGGTGTTAACTTGTGGGATGACAGCGCCGTCTGATGTGCGTACATTAATTTCTCTATATGCGCACTCGAATGCGGAATCGGCGTTCTTGGGTTTACGGCCCCTGCGCGATGGTCTATAGAGCAGGAGCTCCGATTTAGCGGCGGAACATTCGAGGCCAGTGTCGCGAAGGTAGTCCTGCACCACGTCGACGGCTTCCTGCAGCGTTTGCTCTACGTGGCCGTCATTTCCCTCGGCAACCCAGAGGGTGATATCATCGGCGTACAAGCTATAGAGGAGGCCTTCTATCTCAGCGAGTTTTCGTGGTAATCCGACAAGCACGAGGTTAAAGAGCATGGGTGAGATTACGGAGCCCTGCGGCGTGCCCGTACAACCCATGTATATGTCCTGCGATTCTAGTCCGCCGATCGCTAATCGGGCCCGGCGGCCCGTAAGAAAATCCCGTACGTAGTGGTACGTTCTCTCGCCCAGTCCCAACGCTCGTATACTTTCAAGTATCGCAGCATGGCTAACGTTGTCGAACGCCTTTTTGAGGTCGAGCCCGAGTATCGCTTTGGTGGATCGTGTGGGATTGTCTACGATATCGTGCTTGAGTTGGAGCATAACGTCCTGCGTGGAAAGGTTACGACAGAACCCCAGCATCGTGTGTGGGAGCATGTTTCGGTCCTCGAGGTAGTTGGTAAGGCGAGCGAGAACCACATGTTCCATGACCTTACCAACGCAGGACGTCAAGGATATCGGTCGAAGGTTGTCAATCTGTACTCGTTTGCCCGGTTTGGGGATCATAATTATGCGCGCCGTTTTCCACGAGTTCGGTATAGCGCCCGCATTCCAGCACTCGTTCATGTAAGCCGTCAGTTGTTCTATCGACTCATCGTCCAAGTTACGTAGCGCTTTGTTGGTTATCCCGTCCGGGCCTGGCGCCGACTTTGTGTTGAGCCTGTGCAGCACCGCCCTCACCTCAGCAACGCTGAAGTCCTCGTCTAGTTCCGCGTTACCCTCACCCTCCCAGGCGTATGCCGAGTGCGCGAGGGGGCTACGTGACTGAAAGTAACGGCTTCGCACGTCATCTAGAAAGTCCGCGTGGGTGCCTTTGTAGTCGTGCAGCAACTTGTTAAGCTTATGTGCGTGCGATGTTTTCGTCTCCTCTGGATCCAAGAGGTGCCGGA